GAGCGGCACCAGGGTGGTCTGCAGGGAGGCCCCGAGGTGGCTGGGCCAGGCGCCAGGGCCCCGCCGCCCCTCATGCCCACACGTTGGCAGGCCCCGCCCCGCCTACTTCCACTTGCTGGACAGGCAGCCTCCCCCAGGGCCCCAAGGTCGAGGCAAGCCAAGTGCCCCCCTCCCCACTCACCAGCAGCTGCTGCGGGATGAGCTGCATGTACAGCTTCCGCGGCCACTGCTCGGTCCTCCTGCAGGGATGCGGGGACGAGGGTCAGGAGGCCAGGCCTCACCAAGATGCCGCCCCCGCCCCCTGCCCGACACTCACAGGATCTCCCCTTGGTTCACGTAGATGTGCGACGGCAGCCACCTCTTAGACCGACTGTTAGGCTCAGGCCTGGGCTTTTGGGGGGTAAGAAGAGGGGAGCCGTCAGGAGTGGGAGGATGCCCTGGTCCTGAGGTCACTCAGGCCCACCCAGGGCTCACCTCCTGCCACTCCATGACTCCACTCCATGCCAGGAACTTGTTGTTGACCATCTGGACAGGGCCCGCGACACCACCAGGTCCCACTGCCTGGGGAGGAGACAGGTGGGCTGGTGCCCCAGGAGTTCCCCAGAGAACGCTGCCCAGATCCCTCTGCACCCCCAGTCCGTCAGTCTCAAGCTTATCTACCTGCTGCCCCCAGGGCCCAGCCTGGCCCGGCCCGGCCCAGCCTCCAGCCTGGCTTCCGGCCTCCAGTCTGCCCACAGGCCCAGAGGATTCCCCAGAGGGGGCCTTGCCCCTCACAGCAACCCCCATTCCCTAGGCCGAGCCCCCGCCATCAGCCTGGGGGACGTGGCTCACAGGATCTGCCTCTAAGAACTGGGCAGCTGTATAACTTGCTGCACAAACTGGGACACTTTTGGGTGAAGGGGTCACTGAACAGCCGGTAAGGCGTGAGCCAGGATTTGAGGTCACCCTCCTGCCACAAGCGTGCCCGCCTGCCCATCCGCCTCCCTGCTTCCCATGGGCACCCCTCCTGCCGGGAACCACCCTGTCAGACCCCTCGACCCCCTCACCCTTCAAAGCCTCAGCCACGTGTGGCGGCCGGGCCCAAGGGCACACCTGTTTGCGGGTGGTGATGACCTGCCGGATGGCGTTGACAAAGCCGCTCTGGTCGTAGGGGATGAGGCCCATGAAGATCTTCTTCTTGGACGAGTACAGGAGCATGAGCACGCGCACCTCGCAGGGGGAGATGTGCGGGAAGAGCATGCAACCTGCCTGTGGGTGGGGGTGCGGAGGGAACGATCATCACGGGACAGAAATCCTCAAGGTTAACACCAGGACCCTAAATGACTGGTGTGTAGCCAGAAAGCGTCGTTCTGGGAACCTGTGAACGTGCACCCCCGTGTCCCCCGCACCGTGACTCTGGGGTCAGGGCTGGGGCCCCAAGTGCCGGGTGAGGGTCCTGAGAGGGCTCCACCTGCCGCCCACGTGCCCCGAGGTCAGCCCTGTCCTGTGGAGTTTGCTGCTGGGCCCCGCTGAAGGAGGCCACCAGGCCCGGGGATTAAGGGCACAAACGCAGGACCAGACTGCCTGGGAGTAACCCTGGCTCTGCTATCTCCTAGCTGTGTGACCTAAGGCAGGTCACCTCTGGACCTCAGTTTCCCCACGTGTAAAACGACACAACAATGGCGAACAGAGTAAGTGCCACATAAACGCTCATTATACAAGATGCTACTGCCTCCTTGGTGGGACTGCGGGAGAACCTGAGCCTCACAGACGTCCCCACCCGGGGTGTCTAGACAGAGAGGCATGCGCGTTCTCAGCCCCGGGGTCCGCTGGCTCAGTGACCCCACCCCTGGCCTTCCTGGACCCATGTGCGGTCGGCCCTCCCAGAGCTACTAGTCGGACCCGGAGCGTAACCGGACAGGCCATGGAAGGTGCGTGCTGACGTCCACCTTCCCTGCAGCCCGTGGGCCCCAGGCTCCAAGCAAACGGTGCTGAATGAAGGGCTGACCGGGCAGGCAAGAGACCCCACACCAGTCACAACCCAGAAGAAAAGGGATCGCCCAGGCATCGAAGGGCAGCACACAGCACCCCCCCAGAGGCAGCAGCCAGGAGCTGGAGGGTGGTCGGTCCCAAAGGGGACCAGGAATGGGAGAGGACCCCAGAGCTGAGTCCTCCAGGCAGACGACCTACTCTCACCTCAACCCCTTTCCCAGCACCTGCCGTCCCACAGCCAGAGCCCTGGGGGGTGGGGGCAGCGGGTGAAGCCTGGGTCCAGACACGTGGGTGCTGTGGCCCAGACCCGAGAGGCTTGCAGGGACCATGCCCACCGCGTCCTGTGTCTGAATCCCCAACTCTAACAATCTCACCAGCTTGCATTTACTGAGCACTCACAACGCCCTTCAATCACTGCCTCAAGTGCTTTACTCACTCCTCCCAGTGGCCCTAGGACCGCAGATGAGGAAACTGAGTCCCAGCAGACCATCTCTACTGCTGGCTCCCTCTTTTCTCCTGGCCACCCCAAAATGCCAAGTCCCTGCCATGTGCTATGGCCCCAATAAGCTCCTGGGTCCCAGGAGGGCTGGCCCAGGCCCCTCCCTTCGCTCCCGTGCCCGGGGGCGGCTCCAGCTTGGCCGGGAGGCTGGCTGGGTTCCTCTGCTCTCCAGGGACAGGGATGCCCCCAGGAGAGGTCACCCGGACCCTGCCACCTGCCTTGGGTTGTCCTAGCAGAGCTCTGCCTCCCACCGTACTTGGTCACCACTTGGTCACCACGGTGCTTCCAAGGGGCCCTTCTCGCCCTGTCCCCGC